GAGAGAAGTGTAAGAGATCTTGCAGCTGCCTCTCCTTGTGGGCGCTACGGCTTTAGTGTCTTTATTTTTTGTGCTTATTGGGGTCACTTACTTTGACAGAACTTCTACTTAAGCACCGGTATTCCATTTTGTAGCTGCGTGTGTTGGCTGTTTGGATGGTTGATTGTTGTGTTATTGGCTGTACTTGGTGGGCACTTGAGGTGTTCTGTCGAACAATGTCTCGTATATCGTATATCGTTGTGCCTTCTGCCTGCGACTTGTCCGATTCGAATTGGCTTTTCACTACACTTCACGAAACGATGAGTATATCACACTAAGTCGCTGATTTCACTGGAAGCCCCTTTTTGAACTCTTTGGAGGTAACGCGCGTCTGACAACCGACCAACTCGAGCGCTCAACCTGAACTGACGGACCAGGTAACGTTTACCATTCCTTAACAACTTGGTGTGTCGCTGCTGTTAATGGGATCTTCGGCAATATCGCACTCGTAACCTGTTGCCGTCGTGCCAAGTGTTGCTGCTGCAGATGTTGCCGCTGTTGCTGCTGCTTCTGCTGCTGCCGTCGATGTTGCTGCTGCAGATTGGTTTACCCGCTGGCATTGTGGGTGCCGATCTGGATACATGTGAATGCTCCTCAAAAAACAGTCTATGCAAAAGCAAGCCAAGAATATCAGATAGTAGCCCAGGCAGACGACCAACACAAATCAAACTAGAACTGACAGAATTATAGTCTAATGTAAAGTCATTCTGCGCTATGTAGATCACTTTAAATATGTGCTGACAGAACACTGCCCGTACCAACTTACCAGTTCGCATTTCGATCGTAGAGCTGATATATAGTTCTTATTATTACTTTATTAAAAGGACCATTAATATAATTTACAATTCATATATTTTAAGTTATTGTTATTCATCCCATATCAAATATATATTTTAGTTTGCGTTACAAAACCTTTCTTAAGATGGACAAATCTTCAGAACACTTCGATAATTTTGGATTCTTCTCAATACATTAAGTAGTTTTAACATTCTCGAAGAAGAAAAACTTGTTCATTTTTAACCTCGTTCTAAACATTCTATTAAAGTCTTGGGGATAAAAGCCTTTTTTCCAAATCATCAGAACTAAGGGAACTAGGAGGGTGCCATTATAGAATTGTATACAGTTTTTAAATAATTGAAATTACTTATGGAATTTTAAGTTGGATCGCATCTGACCCTACATCAACACAAGGGGCCACTCTTTCATCTAAATTTACCACTGCTGACTGTGTTATTAGTGGTGATGTTCCTACCACTATTTGTCTATTTTGCTGTTGGGGATTTTCTTCCTGATAAGGTGGGCTCAAGTTAAGGGCACGCATTATTATCGAACAGCATCCAGTAAACACGATGCAAATGCAGCAGGCGCAACAACAAACTAAAAAGAAAACTATAAAGATCGAAAACAGAATGAGTCCTAAGCCTCTAAGCATTTTCTATTGTTATTTTATAGCATTGATTGTCGATAAATAAGATGGGAATAAAGTAAACCTCTTTGTCCAAGAACCTTGTATCCTAAAATAATAACACTTGGAGCAAAGTCTTTAATATAGATCTCATTTCAATACTTATCATTTCATTTAAAAAAGTCCTTGCAGTAGCTGAAGCAGCAGAAAGCCAATCATTACCATCAAATAGCCCAAAAAAGTCAATTAAACCAAACTTGTTGAAGGATTAGAGTGGATACATTATGTGATCTCATATTTTTGTCATCGGAACCTTGCTCAGAAGGTACTACAATTTTTGTGAGGGATGAGTCTGTATTGACATATTACTCTGGACTAACTCTGAAAAGTAGTTTTTTAATAAGTTGTATTTCTATTTCCAGAGGAAGATGAGATTCTTTGGTTGAATAATATTATTATTCGCCTTATAAATTAAAGTAATTTTACAATTAATAATTTTAATAATTTACAGCTCTTGGGGTCACAACGGTTAGACGCGAATAGATTATTTTCGTGATGTAATTATGATAATTGTGGCGAGAAAGAGTTTCAGTTTGAAACGAATCTGAAAGCATCACAAACTGACTTATCGACTGCAAGGGCTTCCGTTAATTGGTTATCGATTAATGGCATTACGCAACCGCCATATTCTGTAAATGCTCGTCTCTCCATCTATTTCTCCGTGTCTGACAATTAAAAGACGCTTTTCATTTTCTTTTGGGAAAGTTATCAAGCTATATTAGTTACAATTCGCTATGGTTATTATCGAAAAATGAAGAAAACGCCGAAAGGCCACAAAAACTTTCATAGTGGTTGTAACTTTTTCCCCTTCGTCCGGGCGACTTTTAAAGTCAATTGTCGTCGCGTCGTGCAGAAAAAGTACTCGACGGGTATAAATAAAATAAAATTAATAGTAACAATTGAAACAAGCGCAGTGCCACAATGAAGCGAAAGAAACATTGTCCGAAATGAAACATGAGAGTGAAAACCCCCTCCCGCCATTTCTTTCGGAATGACACGGCACGCATGCGCAGTGTCAACGCAACTTTTCAGCGAAAGTGACGGAACGAGTTCCAATTGTCCACGGCCAACGCTCCAAACGCCTTTATCAGAGGCCACAATTCACTGGCCTGGCGTAATAGTTGCCAAAATAAATGAAAATAAAAAGCCTCCAGACTGCCAGAAGAAACTACATTTTCTAAAAGGTAATAAAATGTACGCTTGCGTCTAGACCTAACATTTCTTTTTATTATTATTTATGCACTAAAACTAAAAATAAATAATATGCTTACATAAATCCCCAGGATTTAAATATCTATGTTTATTTTAGACTTGCTGTATGTTTATGCTGATAAAGCTGGTTTATTTTTAAGCGGTAACTTATGGTACTTTTTTGAATCAAGGAGAATAGTTTTCTATATTTTCTTTTGTGAAGTTAATTAAAAGTTAATAATAACTTTTTGAATACGATCGTTATATGATGTTTTGAAAAGTTGTGCTTAAGGTTCATTAGGTTAATTATTTCTAAACAAGGTTTTTAAGTATATATTATTTACAGCAAACTATTATTTATAATTTTCGGTCTACTGAGGTATATATTCTTCTATACATTCACTGGCTAGCAACATTCAGAATTATATTTTTCCATTTGTCGTTTGTTATGGTCGTCACGGGGTCATTGTTTTTTAAAAAAGCATTATATCCTTTGCAACCCCTAAATAAAAGATCGTCAAACACCGAATTATTTTCTTTGAATATTTAGCTAAGTTGTTGCACTAACCATACAACATATAGACTGGTCATTTCATACAACGAATTTGGTCACAAAATTTTTCACTCGGGGAGCCCCAGTGCTGGAATCGGCAGGCCCCGACACTTCGTGTGCCTTCGGGTTTTTTCGCTCTCGTTCTAATTCTTATTTTGACGCTCGCGCTCGAGTTCGGTCGTTCAGTCGCAGAGACGCGCATTTTGAAGAAGGTTGGCCTGCTCTTGAATTGGGCTTTGTATGTATGCGTGTTCATGCATTCTCATACAGGGGTGCATGTGTGCGATCATTTCATTTCGATGCAGCAAGAATATTTTGTCTTTTGCTACTTTTCAGACTTGGTACCCTAACAATATGGGCGTATTCACTATTGGGTTAATGATAAAAATAAGAATATTATATGTTATAGTATATTTTTAATATTTCAGCATATATTTCATCTTGGTTTACAAATTCAAATCAGTGGTAGCAAAAAAATATTTTGCATATATGTATGTATTCCAATTAATAGAAATCAATCTACTGAGATAGGAACAGGGCACATCGCAGTCGGTGTCTGCGCTTAGTGGTTCAGAAAACTTCAAACCAAATCAGCTTTGGTTGTTGTTCTGCGAGCGTATGGTGCCTGCATAGCCTACCGACGATTGAATTTTAGGGGTGGCTACAGAAACAAGAACGGCTGTTTGGCTTTTGTTTTGTTTACATTTTTTAGGACACTTGTTTTGAATGATATGTTTAATGAGTTTTGGTTGATTTTTTTTTGATTCGCAGTGTAATTTTGTTTAATGTTGTTATTTAATGATCTAGTTATATATATTTTTATGTTTGCTTATTCTTGAAAGTCGCCGCTTGAATTAGTTACCGATAAATATACATATGTACATATAATAATTTTATAGTTTTAATCTTGGAAAATAACAAATTGTTTATCCACTACAAAGTACAGACAAAAAAAATTTGAAGTGATTTTCTTAAATTTATATTACTATTTTAAATCAAGAAGTAAACTTTTAATGATTTTTAATATAAAAAAAAATTATAAAATTAATTATCATTAAACATATCATTCAAAACAAGTGTCCTAAAAAACGTTCTTGTTTCTGTAGCCACCCCTAAAATTCAATCGTCGGTAGGCTATGCAGGCACCATACGCTCGCAGAACAACAACCAAAGCTGATTTGGTTTGAAGTTTTCTGAACCACTAAGCGCAGACACCGACTGCGATGTGCCCTGTTCCTATCTCAGTAGATTGATTTCTATTAATTGGAATACATACATATATGCAAAATATTTTTTTGCTACCACTGATTTGAATTTGTAAACCAAGATGAAATATATGCTGAAATATTAAAAATATACTATAACATATAATATTCTTATTTTTATCATTAACCCAATAGTGAATACGCCCATATTGTTAGGGTACCAAGTCTGAAAAGTAGCAAAAGACAAAATATTCTTGCTGCATCGAAATGAAATGATCGCACACATGCACCCCTGTATGAGAATGCATGAACACGCATACATACAAAGCCCAATTCAAGAGCAGGCCAACCTTCTTCAAAATGCGCGTCTCTGCGACTGAACGACCGAACTCGAGCGCGAGCGTCAAAATAAGAATTAGAACGAGAGCGAAAAAACCCGAAGGCACACGAAGTGTCGGGGCCTGCCGATTCCAGCACTGGGGCTCCCCGAGTGAAAAATTTTGTGACCAAATTCGTTGTATGAAATGACCAGTCTATATGTTGTATGGTTAGTGGTTGTTGGCAGGATAGTTTCTCCGGCTAACATTTCAGGATCTTAGCAACCGCTGCCTGTCATGGCAACACAATTTGTTTACTTAACCACCTATCCCAACATTACTAAAAAAAATTTCAAACAAACGGATTTGAAAAGTGCTAAAGAAATCAATCAGTTACGAGCGAAAATGGTGAATTTTGTGTATCCGGAGGAAATGTATTTGTTTGTGGAGAGCATTCGTCCATTTGATGTGCGCGACGTGGGCAGCACCAAGTGGCTGGAGGTGCACGAGATGATCATCAAGTTGAGCCAGCAGGCATGCCTGGAGTTGGCCCAGAATCGCGAGGAGGAGGTCAAGGAGTTCCTCATCTCACGGGACAAGCTTCGCCTGCTAATCCACGAGGCATATTGCGTGACCCTCTGGAAGACCCGAGTGCTGCCGCATCTTTTAGAGATCGATCCCAATCCTCAAGCCACTTTTCTCATCTACACGGTGCTCTACCACGAGGCTGCTTTGGTATCCCTCCTGGATGTTTGCCTCTACCATCCCAGTGGCTGTGAGACGTTGCAGGAGTCGGTGCTCGATTTGATTGACTATTGTGCCCAGGCGGTCTCCCAGGTTATTGGTCTGGTCAGCATGGGTTATCACGAGAACGAGTCCAAGCTGGATGTGGATGAGGCGGTGCTCACAGAGCTGGAGCGCCAAAAACGCGACTTTATCTATAAGATTGGGCTGCGATGCATCTCTGTATTGAATTATCTGGCGGATAATGTGTCACTGTTTCACCTGAGCGCCGCCCGTCGCCTCCTGGTGACCCATGACATTCCCTGGCTCATGGTGGATGTCTTGTCTTTCCGGTGAGCATTAAGGGTTCCAGATTCCAGATTCAATCTGACTAGCTTTTTGTATGAACTAAGACCCTGGCAGAGGAAGACCAGCAAGGGGCTGCAGAAGTTCATCGATGAGAAGTGGACCAATGTGGATGATGCCGCCAAGATTGTCAAGCCGGAGGCTCAGGCCTGGTTTTGTGTGCGCCAGCTTCTCCTAAATGCACAGATCATGGAGAACTATACTTTGAATGAGGCACGCTGCAAGCAGTTGAGCAAGGTGAGTTGGAGATTCCATTTTTATCCAAACCCAAACATTCCTATGATTAATTCACATTACTTAGCTGTTGGGCCTGATGCACGAGACGCTGATGGACCAACTGCCACCGCTGATCGAACTCAAGATGTTCCTCAGCCGCCTGACGCTCAGTGGTAACACGGCCAAGTCGCAGATTCTGCTGCTGGAGGACATCCCGCAGATCCAGGAGGAGCTGATGAAGGAGGTGGAGCGGTGCGGCGGCTTCTACCAGATTGCTCAGGATCAGGACTCTGTGTTTCTCAGCAAAAACAAGGAAGATATCTGCGCTATGGCCAGTCGCCTGAGCAAAGCCTACGGCACAGACTTACTCTGCGAGTTGGAGCAGAACATGGATGATCTTAAAGTGGAGGAGCCAAAGGATTGCGGAGCTGGGGGCGATGGAGGAGTGGAGCATAACTGTGCCTCTTGCCAGGAAAAGGCCAAAAAGAAGTGCGCCAACTGCAAGCAAGTGCACTACTGCTCTCGGTGGGTTAGATTTTGTTCTTCATTTAATCCTTTTATAATTACCAATCTCTTATTTTTCAGAGACTGTCAGCTCAAGGATTGGCCGCAACACAAGCTCGTCTGCCTTAAGAATTAGTTAGATCCCAGTGTTAATTACACATACGCTTGATTAATATAGAACATTCCAAAAATGTAAAAGGTCAACTTTTCTTTTATTTTCATCTGGATTCAGGTGCATTACGTTTTATTTTCAATTAGCGATAAGCTTAAAAAAATCTTTCACGTAGTCTCTCATTCAGCAGACAGGGGACAGCTGTTTAGCTGTTCTGCCTGAGATGGTCCTTAACCACGTCCAAAGCGGGTGTCTCCTCACCGAAATCCTTGATCACGACCACGGAGCAGCCGCACACCTTGCGGGGCTTGCCCTCCTTGTCGATCTTGCACAGACCGGACCATTCGCCCAGCTTCTTGTGCGAGTCCACGCGGATCAGGGGGATCTGGTGCTCGTTGCACAGGGCGGTGACCAGCTTCTTGTAGTTGGGCTCGTCGAAGGACTCGGCCAGGATGCACAGAACAGCCTGACGTCTGTTGAATTGAATAAAGGGAAATGGTTAGTATATTGTTAGCGGTTAAAGGTTTAATACAGTTTGCTTTACTGCTGACATTTACTCAGTAATTGGAAGGTTTTTAATCAATTTAAATTCATAAACACGGACCAATTAATTTCATCATAGACGCATCGGCAAAAGCAAGCTTATTAAGGTTGTAAAACACTTCTTAGGTTTTATATTTAAAAGAGTCCCCTTTTTATACATTATATATTATTTAAAACAACATCTATATTAAAAATTTTGAACACGTGGTTTTGAAGTTTCGTGTTTTCGTCGGATTTTCAAAATATTTATCTACCCACATTTACCATCAATTCTCTAAATAAAATGAATAATAGAATTAAGATGGAAACAATTACTATATGTTTAGGATGCTAAAAAGAACATGTATTTAAAATGGCTTGGTGATGCCTTTTTGGGACTACATGTAGTCTGAGCTAGGACCGGCATTTTCGAAAACGTGGTTTTTATGTTTTAGAAGATGGAGACTCTTTAAGGCATTTCTATCTAATTACCGTACAACTACAGATTGAGCTAAAATAAACTACAAAGTTGGCATTTATAGACTTCTGCAGATACACTTAAAACGTTAAGAAGTGGTTATACACCTTCATATCTGGGATATTGGACTACTCACTTGTCCAGGGCCTTGCAGGCCTGGTGGATGCCATGGACGAGTCCATCGGCGATCAGGGACTTCTTCAGAACCTCCTGCAGGGCGGTGTTAATGTCCATGGCGCCATCCAGAACGGGTGCGGCGGAGGGAACATCACTGCATTAGGAAAACAAGTTATATTAGCATTAAATCGTTGCTCAGACCCCTTCGCATCACAAAAACATAATTTAGCCTTGCTTGTTCAGTAATTGGAGAATTTATAATCAATGGAAATTCATAAACACGGACCAATTAATTTCATCAACAAGCGGTTCGCCAAGCAAGGCATAAATTGCGATTTTTGTCTATGAAATATCCACTTACACATCAACGTCGGCCATTGTTTAGCGGTTTGGGATACACTTCACTGAGAAATGAAAATATAAAGTTAGTATTAGCTGGGATGTCTCGCATTTTGGGGAATTATTTTTTCACTTCTGTACCTTTGGAAAAACCGGAAAGAAAGAGACCAAAATCGGCTGGGCGCTGGCGATGTGAGTTTTCAGCTATCGATAGTTGCTACATAGACGCATTTAAGATTTATCGATAGCTGTTTACAATTTATAATACTAATTTTTACGATATTACCATAAAATTTAATCAGGGTATTCCCCGTTCAGTACGATTTTTATTAATTTTATTAAACTATCATTTTGGTAGTGCGTATAAAAATCTTGTGGAAATATGATAATACCAAATAATTAAAATTCATATTGTTAATAATTAATTATGCATTGCCATCTTATTCGGAGGTTCATTACCATCTGCAAACTCTGCGTTCAGCTCCTTGCTAAAACAATTATATGCATTGATTTCTTTAATTAAAATTTTGTTTACAGTTTTGTATATATTTTAAGATCACTTTTCAGTCAAAGTAAGCTTGTGATATTCTATAAAAAGAAATCAATAACAAATTTATTTGAATTTCGATATGCCTTTTTGGCTTTAACATGCTCTATACCAAATATTTTATTAAAATGTTAGTTATTTAAAGGAGACTGAAGAATTATTAACTTTAATTAAGCCACATAATCATGACAATGCCATGTACCATATTAAACTAAGAGTTGAAAACAAAGTTATTTTTAAATGGCCCTATGAAAATGCAAACGGAGGGACAACTTATTGCCAATTTATTTTGGATATTCCCCAAAAGTCTAATGGCTTAATCGCTGACCCTTACAATTTAAATTCTGAAATTTCGCCAATTCAACAACCTCAAGGCTGAAAATACGTAAAAACTAGAGTTGCCAATTTATTTTAATTGCCAAAAGCCAAGGAAACTGTTACAAATTTCTGTTGAACTTTCAAAAATTATGTAGTCCACCATTAGTCAACATTTTTTCGCAGTGCATAGGAAAATTCCGGTTTTCAGTGTGCCCACGCGTTAGCAAAACATTGATTGACCCATGGCACCTGGTAACACTAAGATAAACAATCCCAAATTCCCAAAAGGCCGCAACTCGCGCTTCCGACTATAACCGCTATACGGAATTTCCTATAAATATCCGTGACTATATCTGACTCTCCCCCGGATAGCGATTTAATCGAGAGTTGAAGGCGCACCCTGGAGATCTGAAGTGCAATTACTACAACTTGTTTATGTTTACATAAGAAGGCAGTCAAGGCAGCAACAACAATAATGACGAGCACGCTACAGTAAGTTGTATCTGTAGTGGGGTTTTATTATTAACAAAAAATAAAGAAAAAAACTCAACATGTGCTCCCGATTCTCGCACATACACACACTATACATAATTGCCGAAAATTTACAGCGACATGTGAAAATTGTGTGCGCGTGTTTGCTGTCGTTATCTGGAATTAAGATTCTAGACTCTAGATTCTTGGTTCTCCAAATGTTGACCCATAAGATACAAAGAAAATGGGGGTACAGAGGTTTGGGGGTTTGCCGGGCGGTAAATGAATGAATTAATATATATATCCGGGCGTGTTCTTCGGCGCCACAACCTCTCGAGTCCGAAATATTCGGCTGATAAGGAGGCCGAATTCTTGCCAACAACTACAAATTGAATCGTAAACAAGACCACACTGGCGTCTCAAAAATGGATTATTGTTTTATTATTAGTTATAGGATGGTTTAATTTCGAAATGCTCGATCTTTAAAAATTAAAGAATCATAATCAGTTTAAGAAAACTCATAACGTCCCAAAATGTTATATTGATGTAAAAAATATTATAGTGCTAGGAACAATTTTAATTTGCTTTTATCGTTCGATTTAAGAAAGTTTTAACCAAATTTTATATTAGCTCTAAAACTAGATAATATTAAGATTAAATGTTGATGCTTATCTTAATATATTTTTAAACCGAGACGTTCAACATCTAATATTTGTGATTTGGTTTTAAAAAAAACCAGCTATATATTTGAAAAAATCAACTGGTTATAACCTACTCCCAACTTTTCTCTGTGTGACCTGGGCGTATACTTAATATTCCCACTTATAGTCTTCCTTTCGTTGGGGGTAGGGCTATATCTCTGAGGTCCATCGCCAGCTGATTGCGCTGAAAGCTCTTGCTGTACTCAAAAGTTGAACGGAATAGTTAATTGGGCGCATTAGCATCAGACCCTCAGGCGAGCAACATGTGCGATCGTATCAGCAGCAACGTTAGGTTCGGGGCTTCAATCTAGCGTCTCATTGAAATCAAGGAGATAATGCTTAAATTTCATTTGATTTTCTTTACCCTAGAGAAGGAATCCTGGTGGGTTGCGGCAATCCGCTGCTGGACATCTCCGCCGTCGTTCCTCTGGATTTCCTGCAGAGGTACTCGATGAACGAGGACGATGCGATCCTGGCCGAGGACCGACACATGCCCATTTACGGGGAGCTGGTCGAAGGCTACCGGGCTGAATTCCTTGCTGGCGGATCTGTGCAAAATTCGCTAAGAATCGCCCAGTGGATCCTGAGGCAGCCCAAGGTGGCTGTCTTCTTCGGATGCGTCGGTGAAGATAGGTACGCCGATATCTTGAAGGAGAAGGCCAGTTCTGCCGGATTGGATGTCCACTACCAGGTGAAGAGAGACGTGCCCACGGGTACCTGTGCCGTCCTTATAACCGGCACTCATCGATCGCTCTGCGCTAATCTGGCGGCGGCCAACAACTTCACCATCGATCATCTGGAGGAGCCCGGCAACAAGGCTCTGGTGGAAAACGCCCAATACTACTATATTTCGGTGAGTGCATTGCCTTTGTTTTGTAATATACCATAAAATCGATGACGGAAGTAATAACTATACAAGCGATTAGGTTATAAGCAGCGGGAATTTATGAGTTTCTTGATTGCCAATATGTTTCTGTGTGAATGCAGGCAAGTAAGACCAATCTTGAAAAGATTCCTTAGCATATTCCTTCCTAATTATGCAAATGAATTAATAATTACATTTACAAAGTAACAAAATTAATAAACTCAAAATTTAACAAATCTTATAAATATTTTTTAACTTACTTGATTTTAAGAATATAATTTAAATTCGAAGGCTTTTAAATAATTAATTTGGATTACTTTATTTACAACACCTGGGTGAACTTTTTTTAAAGGGGTAATATGTTTAAATATATATTTTTTGTAAACCACTATAATAGTTTCTTTAAAAGACAAACCAATATTTACCCTCTATCTCTTCCATTTCCGCAGGGCTTCTTTCTTACCGTGAACCCGCCGAGCATCATGCAGGTGGCGGCCACCGCCCACGCCAAGCAGCGACCGTTCCTAATGAACCTCAGCGCACCATTCATATCGCAATTCTACATGGCACCGCTGCTGGCCGTCCTGCCCTACGTGGATATCATCTTCGGCAACGAGGCGGAGGCACAGGCCTTCGCCGAGGCCCAGAACTGGCCAAGCGGGGATCTGCGCGAGATTGGCAAGCGACTGGTGGCGCTGGACAAACTGAATCCGGCGCGGCCGCGCATTGCCATACTCACGCAGGGCTGCGATCCCGTGCTGCTCATCCAGCAGGATTCGGTGCAGGAGTTCCCGGTCACAAAATTGGCGGTGCATGAGATTGTCGATACCAATGGCGCTGGGGATGCATTCGTTGGAGGTTTCCTGTCGCAGTTTGTGCAGGGCAAGTCGCTGGACGTCTGCATCCGATGCGGCAACTATGCGGCCGGGCACATCATTAAGAATCCAGGATGCACATACTCCGGCGAGCCGGAATTCGTCGAGTAAAGCCCGGATATGGAAGCTACCGAAACCTTAAACACACACGAAAATAGAGACAGAGGAGGCAGGCAATGATTTTGCAATTGTTAATTAAGTAAATGAGAGTGACTAAGACATTTTGTTAAAACACTGATAATTGTTTGTACATATAACCCACACACTCAGACACATACTAAAACATACACATGTGGATTGACATAAACAAATAGCGAGAGTGAGGCTTGTGTCTTATAGATAGAGCAATATTCGAATTTAAATTGATAATAAAACAAAAGTGACACACACGTGAGCGAAACACAAAAGTCAACAGTTTGCACAACTTAAAACCATTGTTTTGTCTTCCAGATAAGAGGTGTGAATTATCCAAAAGGAAGTGCATTGCCTCATCCTTTAATTTATCGGTTATCTTATCGGATTGTAATTGAAATGATTCAAGAAAAAGTAATACACTTATTCTCTTTGTCAGTAGATAATATTATCTAGCTTGTTAGAAAGAGTGAATAATATCAAAATATTTGTAGTAATTATCAGCTTAGATTAAACCAAATTTTGTAAAGATTAAATCATCTTTCCGGGTAGTCATAAATTTTCAGCATATTTGACAACCAATTGCGATAGATAAAGATTATCTTAGCAAAGAGTTATGTAGCTCCTGTAAACATTCAATAGACAACAAAACGTTAAAATCGGTCGTATAATACAGCTGTGTAACAACTATTATTAATGTCAAAAATATTTTATATGCAGATAAGGTTCATCGGGCGATAAGATTATCAGCAACCAAATTTGACTGGTTTATAACACCGATATTTCATATTGATAAAAGCGAGAATGCTAAATATCAGACAACTTATTGTCAGTAAAGGCCAGATGAAAAGCGCACAGCTGTGCTAGACCTTGCAACCTATAAGCCCCATAAATATACAATCCAGACCCATCAGCAGATTAGGTTATCAGCAACATGCTTTGACTAGTTTATGAATACAAAACAACATGCTAAATATTAGAAAAACTTATTTTCGAAAATACAATGTGCTTTTGCAATGTTTTTTTGTCTTTACAAAAGAGGACTGTTGTGTACGCTTTTTTCTTAAATCTTAAATAGAACTTTTTGTTTGCATTGGCAACTTGTTTGTGACATTGAACCCAAGATCCGTGGAACTAATCGAGCAGATAGCCCCGGATGAAGGGCAAGCCCGTTGGCACCCGCTTTTGATAGCGCACGTAGTCCGACTGGAAGAAGTTGAGCAGGGAGTACTCCTCGACGTAGATGCGATCGTGGAAGAAGAGCCAGCTGACCAGTGTGTAGATGCAGATGCAGATGGGGTTTAACAGCACGATCTGGGTCCCCACGGACCACCAGAACCAGCCGACGTATGACGGGTGCCGGCAGTAGGCGTAGATTCCGCTCGTTATTAGCTTGTGATCCGAGTGCTTCTCATTCTGGACCTACGAAGATTTATAAATGTTTTAACTGGACGTACTTTTACTTTTTTTGTTATTCTAATTAATGTAAAACTATTTTAAATGGTTTCTAAAACTTCATTATTATGACTTCAATTATTTTTCATAAAAATAAGATAGTTACTCTCTACTATTTTTTGAGAGACAATTAAGACCATATTTGGGTTTAACAAAATGTCTCTAATCAATGGGTTTGAAATAGTTTTTAGTTGTCCGACCGTATTTACCATAGCCAACGAACAACATTTCCTTAATCTTTGCAATTATATTCGAAAGTCTTTAACCTCCTAGTTCTCTGAAAAATGATTTGCTATTTTAATTGTTTCCTATTCAAATTAAGCCTTAATGTTTCTTTTAGTATAACATTCCTATGTATTCTAAAGTAATACTTTTTGAAGTTGTCCAAAGTTTCCGCCTATAAAAAATACAACTAAAAAAACTAACCAAATGTGTAAAGCTCCGTCCGGCTGTGATAATGGCCGCCTTGCGGACGACTTCGCCGAAGGAGCACAGGACCACGCCCGCCAGCCATATGTGTCCGAATCTCTTGAACTCCGGCAAGAAGTACACCTCCAGCGAGAACTCGATCCAGCTGGCAGCAGCAGCTAGTCCATAGTGCACTGAGTGGTTCAGCATGAAGGAATCGAGAGTTAAGGTGCGCGGATTGGCATATGCGATTACCAGGAACTCTGAGTAGTGAAAGAAGGACATAAAGCTGCCGTAGACGCCGAATTGCTGCCATTCGGTGGGTGCAAAGCAGATGACCAGCACACTAACGGCCATGGTGAAGCCCAGGAAGGAAGCTCTAATGGCCACCTGTGGGGAGAGATTGTAAATACACGCTGATAAAGTTTCTATACATCTAGTGACTCACCTGATAGTCGTGGTTCCGTAGCACAAACCGTATAATCATGTTGATCAGGGCGTAGTACAGAACAGGACCCCAGAGCACGGCGCCCCACACTTGAGGAACCAATCCATAAAGGATCTGCGGCACCGAGGGGATCAGGATCAAAGCTGCTGTGATTACAAAGCAATACAAACTTAGACGACCTTCGGCACATAGGGCTCCTCCAGTGCCGGGGCTGGGAACCCGAGGACTATTTGCACACATGATCGAAGGATCAGGACTCTTTTTGTGCTGCTCGTGTGCGCCAAAACACAATATTGCGGTTTTTCAAAACATTTGCTCGCTTCAATGCGTCGAAATGTAAATAAACCGGCAATTCCGATAACGATGGGTAGAACAGTAAATGCACCCTAAAAGAAAATGATAATTTAATTAACTTAGTTATTTACAAAGAGTACTTTTAGTTGTTGATTCAATTGCTTAAAATTCAATTGTTACTTCTTATCTTTAAATATAAGCATAACTTTTTGATTATACAGTTAAATTTCATTATACAATTCGTTATAGCCAATACCAACTGTTGCTTTACGCGATACTTTTTATTAGCCATATTATATCGATATATAAGAATTATACTTTTAAATAAATGAAGTAAAAAAATATGAATACAAATATAATTTTGTCCATTAATGGTTATTTTAAGCCCGTAACTAAACTTAAATATTTGAATTTTCATTGATTAAATTTATATGAGGCCACATAGCTTTTCGATTTCTTATCGATATCCTAATGAACAGCTGTTAACGGCGGGGTGCAGGTTATGTAAAATAAAAAGTAAAATTGCTAAGATCAATTAAAATAGCAAACAAATCGTTGCAACAGTTTAGAAGATATCAGTCATGGTGTTCTTGAGTCTGCCACTTTTGGTACGGGCCCGTGGTCCCGATGAATTCTGGAGAAAGAGACGCATCTTCAAACTGGCAGCAGTACGTTTTCCTAGCTTCCATCCAAAATAACAAAAATAAATCCGTAATATTTATATTCTCCAGCACTACAGGAGTCGCACCCGTAATGTCTACTCGTTCGCCATAAGGAGTGTACACAGGGCATTGGCCTATGCGACTAAAGGACGAAAGCTAAAGAAACTAGACATGGCGCAACTTTGGAGCACGCGCGTGGAGGCGGGATGCCAACAGTACGGCGTTGGTCTGGAAACCTTCAAGGAGGGCCTGGCTCGATCCGATATCCTGCTAAACAAGTATGTAGCAACAGGCGAAGCTAAATTTTATTTATTTAAGAATAATTCCCTTCAGGAAAACCCTCTCCGATCTGGCTATTTGGGAGCCGCGTTCTTTTGAAGCTTTAGTGAGGATCTCTCGAGAGCGGGCCGCCGTCGAAGGATTGCCGGACATCAAGCGGAGGTCGGCCTTTAACCAGGTTTACGGTCTGAGCAACCTGAAGCTGGATTAACTTAGCCTTAATTAGAAGTTCAAATATAAATTTTTGTATATTTTAACGAACAAAAAGTTGTATTATTTTGGATAACCTTTAAAAAACAACAGTATTCAATAGTTTTATTTTAACTCCACTATATCTCTGGTGCTATGATCAAGAAACGAAATGATATCCTTTTTAACTAGCAGTTACACAAACGGTAAATGATACAGTTTAACTTATCTATTGCAAATGTTATATCGGATAAGTTTTTGGCGCTTTATTTATATAACTCGCAGAAGGAGCTATAGTCTTATAAAATCAATTTCTTATTATCCAGAAAAAAACTAGTCAAAAATATCACTATTTCACATTTTTAGTTAATTTTTTGTTTAATTTACTCAATGTCCAATTAAGATTTATACTTTGTTGCAAAATCAGTGTCTAGGATTATATAGATTTTTTTGAAATATTAAAGTTCATGAGTTTTACAATTTAAAACTTACGTCAAATGATTAAATAAAAACCTTAAGTAGTTTTATCATTGCGAATTTATACCTTTATAATTCCCGTACATTTTGTATGCTCAAAAATATTTTTTGGACTTTATTTAAACCAAAATAAAATACTGAACAAACCATGGATAATATGAAAAGTATAACCTTAGACATTTTAACAAGTAACTTGAAGTTTATTGAATGGCGGTCCATGCGCAATGCAAACTAAAATATTGCATCAGCGTTTATTGTAGTTCTGGTTTGGGGTTTGTGTGTTACGTACTAATAGAAAACATAGAATTCATAGAATTGTGAGACGGGATCCGGGCTCGAGATCTACTCCAGTTTGGCCAGGATGTCGGATTCGCGGAAGAGGAAGAGCTCCTTCTGGTCACCCTCTAGGTTAACCTTGGTGCCTCCGAATTCGGGGAGCAGAACGCGATCGCCCTCCTTCACGCCAATGGGAATGTGACTGCCAGTTGTCTGCGGATTCGGTTAGATTACCAAATTAGATGATTCTCTAGACGGAGATAATGACGAAATACTCACGGCATTACGGGTGCCAGGGCCAACGGCCAGAACGGTGCCCTCGAGCACTTTGCCCACCGATTTCTCTGGGAGAACAATACCGCCTTTCGTCTTGGTCAGCGCCTCGGCCCTCTGGATCAGGATGCGGTCCAGCATGGGGATGATCTTCTTGATAGCGGCGGCCTGGAAAGCACGAAATAAGCCCCCCAACAATTAACCCATGTTTCATGTTTCTCTCATTGATTACACAACAGCCCGGCAAAAAAAAGAGAGATGGACCCCGAGTTCTGGAAGCTTCTTGAAAAACGTACTCCCAGTTGATTTCCATCTCCGTTTCAATGGCTTCTTAAGTAATATACAATTAACTTACCATTTTTGTTCTTAAATGCAAACTGGAGCGTTTGATAAAAGTTTAAGAGTGAACTTTTTACTTTACTACACGTGCCGGCGTAACTTCGATAGATGCGGGACTGCTAGTCGACAGTGTGACCAGGCGGTGCACGTAAAATCTAACCAAAGATTATACTATTCCACTACACTACAAAAAAAGTTTACCAGATATAACTAACAAGTTGAAAGTTTACCCCAAAAAAGATTATTCTTAGTACTAAGTAAAAAGTATTATTATATTAGTATACATTTGATTTGCTAATATTTCTAAAACGTTTAATAAGTTTGTAGGTTTTTAGACTTTGGATTCTATAAATTTATTTTTGTTTGGTAAATGTTTTCTGGTCAGCTGTCTGTTATACACAAGCTTTTTTAAGAGACAGCCAAAGAATATAGTGTAAGTACACAGTCCATTATCGCAATTTAAATATTTTTAAACAAATATAAAATATAATGATTTATTGTAAAAAAATATCGAAATTTAAATTGAAAGAAAGGTAACATATTTTCCGCGAAACAAATATATTTCCGATGGAAACTATCGAGGTATCGATATATTGAGACACTCCCACCACCGGGCTGTGTTTGTCTTGAATTTTTGAGTCACCTTTTTGCCTTGTTTACATTTAATGTAATTTCTACAAGATTAATCTAAATTAATTTTATTTCCGACTTAAGTGGCATAATGTTTCTTTGTTGCTTACCAAGTGCAACATTAATTTAAGCTGTTATCGTCCTAAAGTAATTTCCTGATAAGACAACAATTAACATATTAAAATGACCGAACGTCGTGGCACGCAAGGCACAAAAGCCCTGGAGTACTGGTGCCGAGTTATAACCCAAGGATATAATGGAGTTAAGATCGAGAATATGACGACTTCGTGGCGAAACGGGCTCGCCTTTTGCGCAATTATACATCACTTTCGACCGGATCTTATAGATTTCGATCAATTGAAGGCTGCTGATATCTATGAAAACAACGATTTGGCCTTTACTACGGCCGAGAAGTACTTAGGAATTCCCGCTTTGCTGGATGCAGCTGATATGGTTTCGTATGAAGTACCCGACAGACTATCCATACTAACATATTTGTCCCAGTTTTACAAGGTGCTCGGCAAGAGCCTCAAAATTCCTAAGCCGGAAGAATCGTTTCCCGATGAAAGTGAGCCGCCACAAAAGATTATGCATATTGTTGGAATGCCACGGCGTGATAAGTGCCAGAAATGTGAACTCCCGGTTTTTCTGGCTGAAAGAGTTCTTGTGGGAAAACGGGCTTATCATCGCACTTGTTTAAAATGTGCACGATGTGGTTCATTACTCACACCAGGCAGTTTTTATGAAACCGAGGTTAATAATATATATTGTTGCGAGACTTGCCCCGATGAAGAAAGCGAAACTGAATCAGAAATTGTAGAACTGAAGACATCCAATATTGACCCTGCTATTGGTCAAATACTTGTGGCTGCAAGTCCTGACCATTTCAACGATTATAAAAACAAGGAAGACCTGGAAGACAATAACAAGCCTTTAAGTACAACTGAGAACCCATTAGTCACTGAAACGCCGTCCAACTTAGATAAAGAAAATGAAGTTGTAATTGAAAAAACAATACCTTCTGAACTAAATGAAGACGATAGAGCAACAAGATCAATACAACCTGAAAATAATAAACCAATAAGTTCTGAACAAAAGGAAAATGAAAAACCAATAATTACTGAACAAACTATAGATCCAACTAATGATTCTGTAAATCCTGATTTACGACAGAAACCCAATACTTGTACAGTTGCATTAGACGAAGAAGATGGCATTCTTTCTGAAGAAGCCACGACTTTAACCACTGTCGAAAAATTAAATGAACCAGAAGACACAAGCTCAACGTCAGAATTACCTATTCCAGAACTACCGCTATCACCAATCCCAGAACTACCGCTATCACCAATTCCAGAACCACCGCTATCACCAATTCCAGAAAGTAACACTCAAGAAGATATCAAAACTGAACATAATATTAACTGTAATACAGAAAATGAAATTTTCTCTAAAACAGAAAGCTGCTCTAAGCAGGAAGAATATATCTTTAAACAAAAGGATCTCGAGACTCCCAAGGAGACCATAGAGACAAAAGAAACTGAAACTCACTATCCAGAGGATTTAAATCCTTTTAAAGACGATGATGATTCAAGTAAGGGTGCTAATCCTTTCGACAGCTCCGACGATGAAGTTGAGCTTTTAAAAACCATTCCACACCAAGAAGGCAAAGGAAGCATTCTGAAAAGAGATAAGGTCGTACCGCCCCGTCCACCTCCACCCAAAATAGGCCTAGCCGTATCTAAACCATCAGAAGATCAACATTCCAGCCCTACCCTTTCTCAAGGGAAAAAATTGCCGATGCCTACACCCAGAATATCTATATCAAAACCCGCAACTGCAGCAAACTCAATGACTCATCAAGACCAGAAAAATAACTTTAATATTTCCTCTTCATCTACGGAGCACTTAGACAGCTCGAGACCTTTCGACCGTGGTGCAGATGACCGTGGCTCAAGCGTCTCTTTGCCATCTAGTATTGCGCCTCGAAAGCCACTTCGTGCCTCAGGAGCGACTCCATTAAAAAGCGAGGATCTAAGTCCAACGACCAGCCTTAGTTCAATTACATCACCTACGCGGAAGAAGCGCCAAGCACCTTTGCCTCCAAAACAGGTCGACTTTGAGAGTGAACCAGGATTTTCCAAATTATCTGATGAACAAAAGGCTTTGTTGCATAATCAGCACAAGACCTATAATCAGAGTGATTCCACCAGAAGATTAATACCACTCGACCAGAGCTTACTCTCTGATGAAACAACAGAATCGAGCAACTACGAGGACAGCTTAAACACTTCAAATGTTGACGAAGAGGTAAATATAGTATATCGTCGCATTTTGGTTCCCCCCACTCAGCCCGAAAACAAGGAGGATAAAAAGACCCCGATCGTTTATAACGACTTTGATAGAAACGTAAGTCCTTTGGGTTACAATAAATCAACCCATGGTAAATGGAAACGTAGGAAAGGTCCAGCTCCAGCGGTTCCTATACCACCCCGAAAAGTTTTACAAAGGCTTCCGCTGCAAGAAATTCGACATGAATTTGAAATTATTGCCGTACAACAGTTAGGCCTCGAGAAACAAGGGGTTATACTGGAAAAAATGATACGAGATCGTTGTGAGCGCTCTTTAGATGCAAGGGAAAATACAAACGAGGAACCAGGTGCATCAACAACCGATGGTTCCGAATCTACAGACTCGCAGATAACAAACTCCAAGGAAGTAGAGGATCTTATATTGCAACTTTTTGAGCTGGTGAACGAAAAAAATGAATTGTTCCGCAGACAAGCGGAGTTGATGTATCTTCGACGGCAGCACCGTTTGGAACAGGAACAGGCTGACATTGAACACGAAATTCGAGTATTAATGGGTCAACCGGAGCACAACAAAACTGACTCGGATAAAGCCCACGAAGAAGTATTAATCAATCGCCTCGTTAAGGTTGTTGAGATGCGCAACGAAGTAATTGATAGTCTAGAGACTGATAGAGTTCGCGAGGCGCGAGAAGATATGAGCATTAAGAACCGACTACATATTTACAATTCAGAGCGCGAGGAACCAGCAATTCTGAAAAGCGCAGATAAGTCATCCAAAAAATTGTCAAAGAAGGAACGAAAGAAACTTAAGGAAGAAAATAAATTGGGCAGAGGGAAAAAATCGGACCTAGATAAGGATGTAGACGAGTCTGAACCAGCACCTGTTTTGGAAAAGGGAAAAAAGAAACGAAACTTGTTTTTTTTGAAAATGTGAACAAAGTAGGGCACCCTTTTGTATGTGTCGAACAATTATCTTTATTTTTATAAATTTATAACTTATTAAGTTTTTCTATTGCCATAGATGAGCATTTCAATAAATACAAGATCAAAATACATTTTTTTATTTAAAAATGTTTGGGTGATCCATTCCGGGAAAAAGGTGAATTTAATTTATGCAATGTTACAAATCTTCTCAGATGCTAATAATTGATTTTTAATTACAAAGCTTGTAATTAAGATAATTAAATTTAATTAATTTCAAACTTGTTTATTGAATGGGGAAAAGAATCTAAGCCTATAGAATAGGTTTTCCTCTAAAATACAAAATTTTGTCCCCTGTTCTTGTTATAATTCGTTATAGTGATGAGCTATAGAAATCTTCAATAATATAATTTTCGAATTAAGAAACTATTTAGATCTTGGTTTAGGGGATGTATAGAGTTCTATACGAACAAAAAAAAAGTTGAGGAAGATATGTGTAATAAATCGAAAGCTCTATTTTTTCTCTTGTTCTTCAGCTATCGATAGTTGAGTAACAAGGAATGACAATCGAGACTTGTCCATCTCTAGATTGATAATAGCTACGATCTGTTTTGGACAAAGGCATTATTAATCATTGATAAAACCTTTAATTACTTATAAATTTGCAGCCGGGTTTAATAATTTGCATTTAATAAACACATTTAAATAAAGTAAGCTACAGAAAAATCAGAAAAGTTAATTTTTTACCAGGTATGTTAGTTGGAATTTGCGTGATTCCCCTAAAATATACAGACCTTTTCTCATTCATATTCATATTTAATTTAAAATTGAACAGATATCAGCAATGAATCGTCGCGAAAGGCGTCTTGATTACAATGAAGGATTAAGTGATCTCTGGGATAAGGAGATTAACTTTTTGGACCAGATCTTCTATAAACGCATTCCATTTAATTGCAATGATCTCATTAAATTCTACGACTATGTCTACTATCACTGTTCGAGCTTTGTCCAAAATCCGAGTGTGCCTTGCCAGGATCCCGGAAGTCATCTTTACGAAAACCTAATCAGTTACCTAAATACCCGGCTTCAGGAAATAGCAGCTGAAATTGAGAACATCACGGAAGACGACCAGCTTATCATCAAATACGTCGAGTATTGGAAGCCGTATCAGAAAGCCTGTGAAGAATTGGACCGAGGATGTCGCTACCTCAACCAGAACTGGGTGAAACGGGAGCATTTTGAGGGCCACAAACATATCCACGAGGTCTACCGCATGGCCATGATTCGCTGGAAAGAGCTGGTCTTCAGTCCCATTGACAGGGCTCTGGTCACCGCCATTACCCTGATATTGAGCCAAACTTCCGGGGAATACATGAAATCCCTTTTGTACAAGGTGCTCCAATCCATTGTGGAGCTGTACGCCAGTGATGAGAAACAAGCCGTGACAGTGCCCAATAAACTTAACAACGTATTTACGGAGGAAGCGGTTGGTTTCTACCATTCGGAGACCCTGGCGGAGTTTAGAAAAATCATTTCATCCGATACTTACTGCGATTTAAAGCACTTTCTCAAATACGCCTGCTTAGCCATGCCAGAAATCAAACAGGGGGTCCAGTTTAAGGGAGTACTTAAGCGACACCTTGCTTTACAGCTGCAGAAAGCTATTTCAAAAGCATTGGGAGGCAAGGATTACGTAAATGCCTTCATGTCACTGCGCCACAGTCCTTTGGAACGGGCAATGCGGGATCACAAGGAACTGGTGGCCGTGATTGATCAGGTGTGCTCAAATTCAATAAACTCTATGAACCAGAAAAGGGATCCCATCGAAGTCCTTAACATACATTGCAATGAACTAATGACCAATAATCATTATTCTGCGAAGGCTGTTATCGAGGAATTTAAACGGATCGTTGAGTTGGTGGAATTCCTAAACGAAAAGGACAAATTCTTTAACCAATATTGGAAATATCTTAGGATTCGTCAAATCAACGAGACATCTACATCAGATCAAAATGAGTCCACAATGATTTCCCTGCTGACCAAAAAGTTTGGGTATGTTGCTACTTTTAGTCTATCGAATCAGTTGGCGGAATTAGATCGGTCCAGGGTCGTAAAGGATCAGTTTAAAAATTATTTGGATTGTAGGGATATGAAGTTAGGATTCGATTTCCGTCTTACGTGTTTTGAAACCAGGGGTGGCGATGACAATTTCAAGCTGATTTTGCCTACGGAACTGCAGCAAGCTGAAAAGGAGTTTTACTCATTTTACAGTCAATGCTATAAAGGTCGGAAAATTGAATTAAATTTCGAAATCTCCACCGGCGAGATGATCTGCCATTTGGGTCAGTCGACTCATATCCTTCAGGTAACTACTTTGCAAATGGCACTTCTTCTGCTGTTTAACCATCGGGAGAAGTTTACAACCGACGAGATAATGGACGTGTTGGGCACAAATATGGAGACCCTGGAGCCGGTGAGTCTATGGCCTCAATTTAAAAATCATTCTTGGGTAATTTGCTTATTAATTTAATTTAATTTAGGTTCTGAATTTTTGGAAAGAGATTGGATTTCTTGTTTCCAGCGACTTATCTTTGGAAGTAAACATGAATTTTACAAAAAGGAAGCGCCGTCTTAACTTTAACAAGGTTCCGACTAAAACTAGAAAGATCGAAGATAAAGAAGATGGTGAATTAAAATTAAGGCGCGCAAACCAAATGGATGCGGCTGTGGTGCGCATAATGAAGAAGCATAAGACTCTGGAACACTCGCAACTAGTTGGGCATGTTATTGAGGAGCTGAAAAATCTTTTCACTCCAAAAATTGGGTTTATTAAAGAAAGGATTGAAGCTTTGATTAATAAAGACATGGCCGGTATAGAGCGTTCAGGGCTCACCACCTACAAATATGCTTCCTAAATCTATTAAAATAATGCTGTATTCCAAAAATGTGTTATATTCTATTCCTTGGCTTACAACTATTTGGAATTTATTAGATAAAGCGAAAAAGTTAGAAAGCCATAATAACAATTTTTAAACTTATGTTTTCAATTACATTTTTATAATAAAACCGAAGTTTTAAACAATTTGTGTTTTGTTAAGGGGGCGCGATCAAAAGGCAATACTATAGCTTTAAATACGAATATAGAGAGTCCCTTTAATTAAGCGTATTAAATTTAAATATATAGATATGCAATATCTGTGTTTTATGCCGTTTCTTTATTCTCTAACTTGATGCAAATCAGTTCTGTGTCATTATTCTCTAACTTTATGCAGGTCAGTTCCGTACTATCGGACTCCGGATCTGGGGTGATTAATTCGGTCGCATTAAAAATCTCGGCATGGTGATCTCTGAGGTGCTTCTCCAGATGAGCTTCGTTGGAAAAGGCTATGGGACAATAGTCACACATTCGCTGATGTCGGATTCGCATGGCGCCGGCTCTGCGGCGAGATAACTTCCATCTTGGAGTCGGCGAGTAAATGAACTCGTAGTTATGTTTGGTTTTTGGAGTAATTGTTTTCGCAGGTTTCGCTGCCTCCAATTCTGGTATGCTCTCGCCCTTTTGCAGCCGAAGATGTGTTCTGCGAAATGTGACAAAAAATGTTGTACTTTATCCAAACCTAAATATTTTCATATAAATACATTTTTATATGTATATAATCACCAATTGGATGTATAATGATAATAGTTTTTAAACTATTAGCGAGGACTAAGGAAAGCTGATGAAATTGAACTAGAACTCACTTTAGGTGTATGACTAAAAGAGATTTGTAGCGGAACTTCCGGGGGCAAATTTTGCAGGGATATTTGTCGGCATTTATGTCCTTGCAGTCGTGGGTGGGAAACTCTTCAATCGAAAAAGCCTCAAAGCATTTTGAGCAGACTTTTGGTGGGCCTGCCAAATGATAGCTTATCTCCTCCTCGACCGGATCGGTCTCCTCTTCCTCATTCTGATCCTCCAAATGATACTCCTCCTTAACCGAATTCTGCTCATTCAGCATAACCACTGTAATATGGACAGATCGTTAAAACTTGATGGTCGATTCATGTTTCATATTTCACCCTCATAGAACTCAGTCTCCGGATAAGTTTCTTCAGCGGAATCTTCTGTTTTTATGGATCTCAAAGATCGTGCATCCTTACAATCGGGGGCACTTCCATTTTCTATTCCTGTTTCATGATGGTCGTGTTCAATTTTTATGGTCAGTTTTCTTGTCTTTCTTGGGATGGTTTTTCTGCATTTTCTTCCCATTCTTAAGCTCGGCCAGAATTCCAATATATAATATACATATGAGTAGATTTCATTAATGTTATTGACGTTCTTGTTTATTCTTCTTCTTCTTGTCTTCCAGCTGATTTACTGATGTTTTTTGGGGTGACCAAATATTACACCGGAGTCAAAACAGAAACAGATCGTTAATCGATATCGCTATTTAATTACACGTTCAAACATTTAAAATTAACTAAATAAGTTCGAAAATTAAATTCGGCAAGCCAAAGTGGATATACCCTTGCAGCTGTAACAAAAATTTATTATTCTTTTCACATGGTAGTTTGTTTTTATAAAGTTTATGAATTATTACTGGAGTAGATGTGTAAATTTTGCAAGCCAACAATGCAAAGGGTTTTTTCTAGGCATTTTTTTTCTTTCTTATGACAGCTATTTTAATAGTCGGTTTTGTTAAAATGCAATTATATTTTTAAAATTGTAAAAAAATGACTATATCTTAGAATAGGCTTATATAAATTGTTTTCAATTAATTCTCAGTCCACATTTACAGGTCTTGGAGACACTGTCCACTGTGGTTACCAACCAATCGTTTGTCCTTGCAACAACTTAAGTCTTAAAAAATATAATTATTTGACACTCATATTTACTGCTCATTACAAATAAGAATATCAAAAAATTAGTAGTAGTAATTATAGACTTTTTTATTTTTTCAAGCTTTATATACTATAAGGTAAGCAGTATTGGACCATCTTAAGATTAACTTAAAATTTAGGTTGGCAAAACTTCTCACTAGCATTAATTCAATTTTATTTAGTAGTATTCAGGTTATTCATGAAATGAGGAGTAAATGTAAATAAAATAAAACTAATTGCTTAATGTATGAGACAAGGCTGAAGGAACTTTTTATGTGTATCGTGCAAATTCTTTGGCCTGCCAGCATCAGCGGATGAGAATTATTTTGCTCAAGATATTAATACTATTCTTCTCGAAGTGTTCTATTTACTTGCGACCTTTTTGTTGCTCAAGCTCGTGATGGTCGATCTCCTCGGGCGTGGGCAGCGCGACTCCCTCGTCTGCAATTTTATAGCAGGGATCTATCAGGTGGAAGCCAAAGCGACTGCTGGGGCTCATATTTAAAGCCACATCCGAAGACTGGAAGCCTGAATAGTTTCTGCTGAATTCCATCGACATGCGCTGCACCTGGGCGCAGATATTGTTATAGATCAGGCGATCGTGCATCCTGTGCTGCAGTTGAACCATCCTGGCCATGTACTTCAGTTGACTGGGGGTCAGGGGGCGAGCGGTAAAGTTTCTCCGCGACTCACTGCTTCCCATCACCTCTTCGCAAAGGAGGTCCTTCAATGGCAGTCCGAATACTAAGGATATAGCCTCTGGTAAAAGGCACGGCGATTTTTCCTGCCGCGCCATGCACAATGCCACAAAGGAGTCGCAAACACCGGCCAGTATTATTCCGTGTTTGTGCCGCAAATGGTCCGAAATACGATGGCTGTAGTGCACAATTTTTCGGGGCTGATCCGCCTCTAGAATCTTGGCCATTTCCGGATAAATGGATCCAATGGCTTTGATGTCCATGATGTAGGTCTCATTGGCTGTTGCCACAGCCAAAACGGACGTTACTTGATGGCGTCCATAAAAACTCGGCTCTACCATTAGGGATATCGAAGTTTGATCCCTAATGTCATTTAAAGCCCTATGATAAGTTGCATCTGTTTGTTGGATGTAAACAACGCGAGTAAGTTTTTTGTTGAGGCTTTCGAGTTCATCATGGCTGAGGGGAAATCGAATGTTGGCTGGATTGTCATCGTATGCTGAGCAGAAACTGTCATTTCCATCGCTGTCGCTCATCGTGGCCTATAAATATAATATTTATTATAAAGCTACTTTAAAATGTTTTTTAATTCACAAACTAACCTGTTTTAAAAACTGTGCAAAAAGAATGCTTGTAGAGATGGAACACAAACAGATGTTTTTGTGCCAATATTATCGATAAGTAAGAGAGGTGCGTTAACAGGCTAAATCAAAAGGTGGTAACTCTGGTTGGGAGAGTAACTTCGATAAGCTCGGAGGACAAACCCGTTATTTTTTAAGACTAAAAAAAAATTTCCCTGAAATCTTATCGTGTGATTTCAGTGACATTTATTTCAATTAGTAATAATAATGGAATGGTTATAGTTGTAGTAAAAAAAACACCAAATATGTATTTATAAATGTATCAGACGTAAGTTGAACTGAACTCATTTTAGTAGGATATTGTGTATAAAAAGTGCACAGATCAAATGTTGATCTAGAATTCCAAAAAAAAAATAAAATTTTTAAAAAGTATAAGTTGGGGAAAATTTTAAAGAGTGTTTCACTTTTAAAACTTATTTTATCTGGTTTAAAATAAATAGTTTTTAGTATCTCCATGTAGTAACTTTACGAATAAAATAAGTTACTACTCACAAAAAAACTATTCAAATTTTTCGTGAATATTAGTGAAAGTCCATGAACCCGCCAAGCATTAATGTGTGCAATTACTTTAGACAATTGACAGTCATAAGACTTTTCCCACACCTCACTAAGGCAGATTGCGAATGGAGTCGGATGGGTTGCCAGGATATTGCTTCGCATTTGAATTGACCACAAGTTAATCGACAGTGATGGCCGAAGATTTGTCAGGGTCCGATCGATTTGCTAATGGCCCGCTCAAGGCGAGTGCCAAGTCTAAGACTGTCAGCACTGGAAAATGAGACAAATAAGTGCTTCGCAAATCCGCACCTTTCGCCCCGGCTAATAATGAAACCCGAAGCGATTACACTGCAAAAGGTTAATTGGTTTGTAAGCACATTGGATGGGTAAAGAAAAAAAAATGGTAGAACGATGGAAGTGAGCACACAATTCTGGCCGTAAGTCCAGGCAGCTGACTCAACCTAATTGGCGCACGCGGCGCATACTTAATGCGCTTAGATGCGGCCAAGCACTCCGTTTTCGCCATCACCATTGCCATTTCTATTGCCACCGGCGCTTGTAATTAAATCCCGGCCAAGGCAGCCAGCTGCAACATGACAAAATTGAGCCGTTCAAACGGCAAATCGGGTTTAATTTTAATGCCCTTGCTAAGTAAATTGAGTGTACCAAATATATCGCATTTGCTCATCTTATTTTGGTTTTTGGTAATTCAAATAAATTGAAATTGGACGCTTTGATGTAGCCAAATTACACTTAGCTGCGAGATTGATTTCCATTTGCATGCATTAGGCAAAGTATTAGGCTATTTTTTTGTTATCCAAATTTAACTTTTTAAATGATTTCTTGGTCAGGAAAGTTGGTGAAAAAATTAATTTATCGTATAGAAAAAATAACTTTTCTGGTAGAAAAAATTTCCTATATAGACTAGAATAACAAAGGTTTTAACGATTACTTAAATCCAAAAATTTTTGTATCATAATTTATTTTCCTATCACAGCATCTGAAGGACAAAATCAAAAGAAACCAAGATTAGTTATCAACTATCCATTGGTATACAAATGAAATGTAATAAAATACCTTCCCCCTCGTAATTAATTTCATAAACAGAATTTTTTCTATTGAATAATGAGGCAAATAACCAGGACTCAGGTTCAAAGGTCCCTTTTCGTTTAGTTTGCGTTTTGTTTCCGCTTTGCGCTTTGTCAATTATTGTTGCATACTTTGTGGCGAACAATGCAAAGTGGTTAATGAGGGGGGCGTGGGGCGGTAGGGGTGGTTTCCTGGGTTTTGAGGGTTTTAGGGGGTCTTTGGGTGGTGTTAGAGGCTAACAAGAAAATCCCTCTATGCCAACACGCGCACACCGTAATTAAGAGACACTTCACTCCATTCCGGGCACCGGGGACGATGGCCCCGGGCCGATGGGAAAACAATGGATGAACACACGCTGGCCCTGGGTTCCCGCCCCCTTCCATGCCCGAAGCTGACCCAATTAGTCGAGCAGGCAGGTCCTTCCATCCTTCCATCCTCCGGATCTTCGATGTACACGCTTTTGGATCTTTCTAGTTGCCAGGCTCGTGGGTTGCCACGTTAATTAAATTATCACGTGTCAATTAATGTTGCCCGGCCCAACGAAACGCAGTTGGAAAAACCATTCACTTTGACGTTCGGCAGAGCCACTGGCACACGGTGCGTATGAGCGATGCCTGTCAACTATCAGCTGTCGCAATTTCTCATAGCACAACGTTTCTCGCTGTCGCCACAAAGCAACCAAAACCCAGGACATAAAAACCGTAGCTCAAAAATCCGTTTGATGATTTCTCGTCAAAGTTTTTATAAACAGTTTTTGGATGGTTCAAAAGTTCGATTGCAACGTCCGGATTCGCTGGATTTCCGTGGTTCGGCTTTTAGCCCAACTAACCGTACTTTCATACTACCAAAAAAAAGTAAACCTTTCGTTATTTGATCTTATGCACTAAAAATAGTTATGTCTTTGTGTATTTATTCTATTAAGAAAGATAAGATATATATATTTTAAGATATTATATTTTAAAATATATTTTCCTTTTTAAAACAGATAGAAAGATCTGGACATAAATACGGGGTATCTTATAGTCGGTGAAGTACACTTAAACTATATTTTTGTAGGACACGCCAATCCAATTCCCATTCCAGGATTTTCATTTTGACTCGCTTAACAGTTAAAGTTTTTCAATTAAACGATTAAAATTCCAACGTTTTTCGCGCGTTTAATTAAACTCTGCCTGAGGCTGGCAAATCAGAGTCTAGCATTTGTTTGGATTTATGCTCAATTTAATTGTGAAAATGCCTTTCGGCCGAGAGCTGAACAATTAGCGGTGGGTGTGGCGACCACTTGATGGTGATTTCTTTGTAATGTTAAACGAAGAAATGTATGTACATGCCATTTTAAAAGGAAAAAACTTAATTTGTAACCATGTAAATTATAATTTATTGTATTGATTCACTTGAGGTAGAGCACAAATGGCTTTGGAACCATATGAAATGAGAAAGCTAATTGGGTGAATGAAATGAAAATGAAAATTGGTTTAAATTATTGAAACTCCAAGTCATTGCTGATTTTATAAAAGTTAATGAAAAATCGGATAATAACCAGTTTTTTTTATTATCAATGGAGTTATAATTGCATTTGCTTAGTTAAAATACTAAATCTAATTATATTTTTTTTGGAAATCATTTAGTTTTAGATAGGTTGCTGTATTAACCACAAAACACTCATCAATTAAATATACTCACCAATAAAAATATGTTCACCAATTAAAAATTCTAAACTTAAATACCCAGCGTATATATATGATTTATGCAATTCAATTCCTTTACCACTATCGATTTGCCATTCCCCTAAAAGCGCTATTTATTGAATATGCGCCAAAACAAAATATCAAAAAAGAGGCACTGCAAAAGAGCATATTTCACACCTAACAAGCTTACAACCAACTATTATTGCTGTTGCAGGCTGGCTGCTTAAATGGGATGGCCGCAAAACCGCAAAATTTGTGTTACATTTGCAGGCCGCTGTGTCAGCGAATTGGTATACCCCTTCGCCACTCGCACATGTTGCCATTATTCTTTTTTTTTTTTTGGCAGCCTTTTTCAGTGTAGGTCCTGTGTGGTGGTTGGAATTTTTTCCTGTTTAATAGGATACTTCTGGGCGCGGCGCCAACCACCTGTAAGGGAGAAAGTGCGAAAGGGAGGCGGATGGGGGGGGTCTCAGGTGCGAAGTATCAACGACGCGTTATTGTCGCCATTGCAGTTGTCCATAATGGTTTCGGCCATAAGCTCGGCTTGGCTCCCCGCAGGACAATTGTCCTGGCTTGCTGGCGGCATAAACATTAACAGGCATTTTTATCGCCACACCTACATACCTCTCGAATTCCGTCTGTAATGCTATTTGAATGCCCTTTTGAGGGGAACCACTGCCATTAAAAATCCGATTTCGTTTGTATTGCCCCAATAAGGATAAAAATATTTAGAAAAGCTCGGATAAAATCAGTTATGTGATTGGTAAGTCGGATTTTTTTGGAAAAAATATTGATATTTTAATATAGTTTTAGACAATCACAAATTCATAATATTGCTGGTACTTCTTTAATAATTATGTTATTTGTCAGATCGAATTTTTAACAATTATAATAAAGTATTACAAGCGGTAGTGATTGAGACGAATAACCAAGCTCAGTAAGTAGCTTAAATTAACTACAAGTTTTGATATTTTAGGTGTTTTAAATAATACTTATTAAGTTATATATTATATTAAAGTGCGTCCAAAATGTTTATTCATTAAGAGCTTTGTTTAATATTTTCTTGCATTATGTTTAATTACACATTAGAATTGAAGTAGTTCAATTTATTGGTTGTTTAATAAATAAACCGGTTTTCGTTCCAAGTCAATGACTTTAACGACTTTTTGAGAGTCGGTAGTAACAAATATTTTAAAACTGTACCAATTTAAAAAAAAATTAAGTACGATTAGCAGAGCATTAATGCTCGAGGGATTCCAATATATTTATGATAAAGAATCTTGCATCAAAACAGCCGTTTGCATTAATGTTGCCCTCAATTTGCATTGTTTGCGTGTGCGTGGAAATATCCTATATCCGTTAGCCTTTTTATAGACGGCATCGTTGGGCATGTATGTAATTATGTGCAATATAAATGCTTAGTGGGGGAAATTATGATGCAATAACTTTTCACCCCACACGCAGCCACTTACATACATTGAAATGCCAATCGAATGCCATGGACCACAAGCATACAACAAGGCAAATATATACATGAGTGTGTGGGTGCGCATCCTTTGATCCCTTAAGCAACCAATGCGTATACTCAATTTTTATGGCTTGTCATTTGCTTGCTTCTTTTTTCGCTTTTCTTCTTCGCTTTTGAAGCCCCACTCGACTTCGTCTGAAGCAGGAAATATGAAAAAGTCGCAGTGGGTCAAGGGGTGTGGAAAAATGGGTGGGCTTTCCCTTTGCGGAATTTTT